ATCCCTAAAGAATGTTGATGGGATCTGGGTTGGGATTGCATTGAATGTATAGATTGCTTTGGGTAGAATTGACATTTTCACAATGTTCAATCTTCTTATCCATGAGCATGGGATGTTCTTCCATTTATGTAGATCTCTTATGATTGCACACGACAAATTTTTACATTCAATTTTTAGGCTACGTGAAACAGATTTAAGAGTATCTTGTCCATGGCAGAGACGTGATAGACCTAAGACAGAGCTGTAATGGTGCCCAGCATCTCAGTGAGTTGACGGAGCTGGTGTTAGAATCCAGTCTTTGACTCAGCTGAGCCCTCTTCTTCAAGGGCTGGCGGCATATGGGCATTTTCACTTTGACCCCAACTGTCTAGCATAGCAGTCAGTGGGATGGCTGCTGGGTGAAGAGTGAGAAGAAGTAGGGTACCCCTGAACTAGGGGTAGGGTAGACAATGTAGGCCTTCTGTAGAAGCCTCGAGCCTCATCCTGTCTTCCTTGCAGGCTGACAAGGAGAAGCTGGCAACAGAGGCCAGGGAGTTGCGCCAGAAAGTCAAGTACCTGCAGGACCAGCTGAGCCCACTCACTCGGCAAAGGGAGTACCAGGAAAAGGAGATCCAGCGACTCAACAAGGTGAGTACCTTGGCCCTAGTCCCTTTGGATAGGCAGAGCTTCCCTGAGCCCAGCGGGAAGCTCGGGGGTGACTTCATCAGTGAGCTAGCATGGAGGAGCCTCAGCAAAACCTTGCAGTTCCAGCCCCTACTTCTACTGCCCTTTGCCCCCACACACAGTGTTCTACCCCCTTGGGTGAGCCTGTGCTGGCTCTGACCTCCAGACCTTTGCACAGGCTGTTTTCCTCAAATGGTGCCACTCTGCCCCTTATACTCACTTACCTCACCCCAGCTTATCATTCAAGTTTAGCTTTCACGTCACATCCTCAAGGAGGCTGCCCATGACTCTCATCCACGTCCCTTGTTATATGCTTTTAAAGCACCAGGAACTTTTCCTACCATACCCCTTCTTACATTATTTAGTTGTTATGTCTTTAATTATCTCCCTTCCCATGACACAGTGGGCAGGTGCTTCTCTTCCCCATTGTTTATCTATAATGCCTGGCACCAAGCTATGTCCAGCTAACACTCTGAAGGGAGTGGGTGAGCACAGGCCCAAAGGTTCCCACCCTCGTGGAGTTTAGGTGTGGGACGGGGTACTCCAGGGTAGAGGCTGGGTAAAGCAGAAACTCTTTGGTCTGAGCCTGTGGGATAGGCCAGGGCTTGGTTTTGGTTCCATCCCAGTTTGGCCACTTTAACCTCTCTGGGACTTGGTTTTGCTATCTGAACTCTGGATAGAGTAACTCCTGCACTGCGTAGCTTCCAGTGTAGGGGCTAGAGGGAATGTGCTACAGGAAGGAGCCTTGAAAGGTAATGTTCTCTGACAGCACAGAGCAGTTATTAAGTTTGTGGCTCAGCTTTTCCATTTGTCCTCTTTTTCTCATTCTCTCTCCTGGCCCTGGTCACAATGGGCTCTGGAAAGTGTTTGGTGTTCACTGGATCCCAGCCCTGCTGCGGGTAATACTCTCTGTTCATTGTTACTGTTTTACAAGCATTGATTATGCTGAGTCTGGAATCCTGAAGCCTGTTCTTTGAGAGGTAAAAATGATCTGTCATGTGCTAGAGGGTTTGGAGCTCTGAATCTGGGCAGAATATTATACACGGCACTGACAGTAGAGCCGATCAGGGAAGGATCCCTGCTTTCTAGGCATTATTTGCATTGCTGCTGGCGATAGATATACTGTGCAAATGACTAATGCAAGCCAGACAACTTTCTTTGCTTGTGATCTTGAGCAAGTTCTTCCCCATCCCTGGACCTGCTCTTCTCATCTAAAAAATGGGCAGAATAGGAGAATGAAGTGGAGCTATAGCTTCTCCTCAGAGCATCCTGACTTTACTCTGAGTTCAGCAGTCCTTGTGTTTCTGAGGAAGCCAAGAGGGACCAAGAGGGCCAAGTTGGGAAAGGTCTCCCGAGGCTCCCTATGGTTCAGGGAAGCAGGCGGCCTGTGAACCTCCACCTGTGGGACTCTGTGCCTTGTTCCACATTAGGCATCTGTGCCGTGCTGAGAGTTGGTAAGCCAAGTGCGTGCTGACTAGAGGGCTAAAATCCAGGCGGTGGTTGTTATGGGTTGAATTGTGTCCCCTCAAAATATGTGTTGTAAATTTTATCCTCTATGCTTACAATCCCATTTGGAAATGGGTTGTCTTTGTTAATGAGGCAGGATTAGTGCAGGGTGTGTTTTGAGTCAGCCTCTTACAACATATGAAAAAAGCATATTAGAACAAACAAGCAAGCAGAGATGGGGGAAGAGTGTTGCCAAACCACATGAAGATCACCCAAGAGCAGAAGCTCAGAAGAGACGAGGACTTTCCTCCAGAGCCAACAGAGAGAGAAAGCCTTCCCCTAGAGCTGGCACCCTGAATTCAGAATTCTAGCCTCCTAAACTGTGAGAAAATATGTTTCTGTTTGTGAAAGCCATCCACTTATGGTATTTTTGATATAGCAGCGCCAAGTAACTAAGACTAAATTTGGCATCAGGAGTGAGGTTGCTGCTCTAACAAATACCTACAATGTGGAAGTTGTTTTAAAACTGGGTAATTGGTGGAGATTGGAAGAATTTTAAGGTACCTAATTGTAAACACTTAGATTGCCTTGAAGAGACTATTGGTAGAATTACGGGTGTCAAAAGTAATTCTGATGAGGGCTCAGAAAGAAGTAAAGGAGCTATAGAGAGAGTCTCTATCATCTTAGACAATATATATGGTACCATCAATAGAATGTGGCTAGAAATGTGGATGTTAAATGTGTTTCTGGTAAGGCTTTAAAAGAACATGTGATGGGACATTGGAGGAAGGGTGATGCTTTTTATATAGTAGCCAAGAACTTGTTTGAACTATGTTCAAATGTTTAGTGGAGAGTAGAACTTGTAAGTAATAAGCCTGGATATTTGACTGAGGAGATTTCTAAGTAAGATCTTGAAGGAACTGCGTGGTTTCTCCTTGCCACTTATAGTAATAAAATGCAAGAAGAAAGAGTTGGACTTAAAAATGAACTGTGTAAAATGAAAACAGACCTTAAAGATTGGAATATTCTGTTCTATAAACTAGGAATTGTCACCAAGTACGTGGCCATACACTCTTTTGTTAAAGAGATTAAGCCTGTGACTACCACAGCAGAAAACATATCTGAAAGTGTCAGACAGGACGAAAGGAAACTGTCTGCCACTTAGAATTCTACAGGCAGGAAACAGGCCAAAGGAGCTATATCTGTTTTCCTCCAAGAAAAAAGGAACATCCCTGAGCAGCTTGGAGATCAGCAGAACTGTAAGGAGTACATGAAGCAGAGCCTTCTTGGTTTCAGAGGGTGGGGTCATGGTCTCCTGGATCTCAAAGGATAGGACCACAGCCTACTAGGCTTCAAAGAGTTGGCTCTTTGCCATCTCAGTTTCAGGGTGTGGGGCTGTTGTTAAAGTATGCCAGGGGGATGGAGCTGCCACTCAAAGCTGAGGAGGTCGGTCTGTCATACCCAAGGGGCAGAAGAATGGGGCCTGCTAGGGCTGAAGGGTTAGAGTTGCCACTCAGACTAGGAGAATGGGGCTGCCCAAAGCTAAGGGAGCAGAGTTGCTGTCCTACTGGGCTTGGAAGGCAAAGTTGAAGCCTAGGGTCAAGCAGCCTCCCCAGAATCCATTGGGCATGGCCAACACCCAGAGTTTGGAGGGTGAGCCATTGCCTGGATAAGTCCAAAGAACAGAGGATTATTTTCAAGCCATGAGAGCTAATGTAAATCATTCTGCTGGGTTTTGGACTTGCTTTGCCCATTATCCCTTCTATCTCTCCCATTTCTCCCATTTGTAATGGAAATGTCTGCCATGTGCCTGTTCTCCCATTGTGCTTTGGAAACAGGTAACTTATAGTCTAGATTTCACACATTCACATATGAAGAAGAATTTTGCTCCAGAATGGAATATCACCCATATTTGATTTAGGTGATTCAGAAGATGAGATTTGGACTTGGAGTTGGCTTAAGACATTTGGGATGATATGATGTGGTGAATGTGTTTTACATGTGGCAAGGACATTAATTTTAGGAGGCTAAAAGGTGTCATACTTCACCACTATTTAAGTTACCTGGTGCTTCTATCACAGAAATAACTTTTTAAGCCAGAAGTGAGTGGCTTTAACAAACAAATTTATTTTCTTATAGTTTAGAAGGCTCCAGGTCCAAATTGAGGGTACCAGCTCTAGAGGAAGGCTTTCTCTAGGAAGCTCTAGGGGAAGGGGAAGGGGAAGGTGATATTCAACAGAATGTGGATATTATTGAATAATATCATTAATGTCATGAAAGTAATGTTTTGCTGAAGGTAATTCAAAAACAGTTGCAGCAGTATATTGAGAGGGAACTGCCAGAAATTCAAGCTGGATTCAGAAGAGGACATGGAATGAGGAATATCAGTGTTGATATCAGATGGATATTGCCTGAAAGCAAAGAATACCAGAAAATGTTCACTTATGTTTATTGACTTGCAAAGTCATTAGATATATGGATTATAACAATTTATGGATAACATTGAGAAGAATGGGAATTCCAGAACCCTTCATTGTGCTCATAATGAACATGTACATAGACCAAGAGGCTATTGTTCAGACAGAACAAGGGGATACTACGTAGTTTAAAATCAGGAATTGTGTGCACCAGGGTTGTATCCTTTGCCTGTGTTTATTCAGTCTTTATGCTGAGTAAATAATTTGAGAAGCTGGACTATATGAAAAAGAATGCAGCATCAGGATTGAAGAAGATTCATTAACAACTTGCGATATACAGGTGACACAACCTTGCTGAAACTGAAGAGGTCTTGAAGCATTTACTACTGAAGATCAAAGACTACAGTCTTCAGTGTGGATTACACCTCAACATAAAGAAAACAAAAATCCTCACAACTGGACTATTAAGTAACATCATGATAAATGGAGAAAAGATTGAAGTTGTCAGGGATTTCATTTTACTTGGGTCCACAATCAACACCCATAGAAGCAAGCAGTCAAAAAATCAGACATCATATTGCATTGGGCAAGTCTGCTGCAAAAGACCTCTTTAAAATGTTAGGAAGCAAAGATATCACTTTGAAGACTAAGGTGTGCCTAATCCCAGCCAGAATTTTCAGTTGCCTCATATGCATGTGAAAGCTGGATAATGAATAAGGAAGACCAAAGAGGAATTCATGCCTTTGAATTGTGGTGTTGGCAAAGAATACTGAAAACACCATACACTGACAGTAGAACTAGTAAATTTGTCCTGGAAGAAGTGCAGCTGGAATGCTCCTTAGAAGCAAGAATGGCCAGATTTGGTCTCACCTACTTTGGTCATGTTGTCCGAAGGGACCATTCCCTGGAGAAGGATATCATGCTTGGTAAGGTGGAGGGTCAGTGAAAAAGGGGAAGGCCCTCAACAAGATGGATTGACACAGTGGCTGCAACAGTGAGCTCAGGTATAGCAAGGATTGTGAGGCTGGTGCAGGACTGGGCAGTGTTTCATTCTGTTGTGCATAGGGTCACTATGAGTTGGAGTCGACAGCACTTAACAATAACAAAGGGTGTATCTGGAGTCAATCTGTAGCCAGATATAAAAGAGACTAAACAAGCAAGCAAAGAAACAGGGGAAGACTGATGCCAAGCCATATGGCAATCTCCAAGGACCAGGAAACAGAAGCTGAAGAAACAAGACCCTTTCCTTAGAGCTGGCACTCTGAATGAGAACTGAACTATGAGAAAATAAATTTCTATTTCTTAAAACCACCTACTTGTGGTATTTCTATTATAGCATCACTAGATAACTAAGACAGCAGTAAAGGGTGACTAGTTGCAAGAGTCTTGAGAGGCATTCTAAAGTAATATGTTAACAGCACTGAAGTAGAAAGCAATTAATAGAAACCTTTTAAGAGATGTGAGCATACTGCTAACATGAAGGATAGTATTTTGTTTGCCTGGTTTTGTTTCCAGGTTAATTAAAGATGGTTTTCATTTTATTTTTTAAAAAGTTATTTGATGATGTTTCAACCTCTTTTTAGAGTTGTTGTTGTTGTTGTTATGTGCTGTTGAGTCACTACAGAAGTAGATTGCCCAACCTTCCTTCCAAGGAGTGGCTGGTGGGTTTGAACCGCCAGCCTTCTGGCGAGCAGTCAAGTGCCTTAGGCACTATGCTACCAGAGCTCCTCTTTTTAGACTTAGAAAGGTAAAATAATAAATAAACCCCCCAAAAAAACCAAACTCACTTCTGTTGAGTCAGATCTGACTCATAGTGACCCCTCCTTGGGTTTCCAAGGCGATATCACTATGGAGGTAGATTGCCCAACCTTCCTTCTAAAGACTGGCTGGTGGGTTTGAACTGCCAGCCTTCTGGTTAGCAGTCAAATGCCTTAGGCACTACAAGTAAATATGATCTTATTGGCGCCCTGGTGGCACAGTGGTTAAGTTCTTGGCTGCTAACTGAAAGGTCAGCTGTTTGAACACACCAGCCACTCTGGGAGAAAGATGAGGCAGTCTGCTTTTGTAAAGATTTACAGCCTTGGAAACCTTATGGGGCAGTTGTGCTTTGTCCTAAAGGGTTGCTATGAGTCAGAGTCGACTTGAGGGCAGTGAGTTTGGTTCTTTTGATTTGTAGTCTAGCTACAGAAGAGCTGAGGATAGAAGTGTTAGCTTGGGTAGAATGAGTTGCTGAAACTGAAGAATCCAGAGGAATCTGAGAAATCTCAGGGCAGGGCTTCCCCAAAGGACTTCTTTTTCTTTCTAGCTCCCAGTGCTAAGAATTGAGCTACACCTGCTTAGAGAATGGGAGATTCTCCCTTCTGCATGAGAACCCCAGGTTAGCCTGCCTGTTAAGAGCATACTCTGGATTTGAATCCTGCTTTGCCATGCAATAGCTGTGTGACCTTGGACAAGTTATTTCAGGTCTCTGAGCCCCAGTTTTCATATCTATAAAATTGAAATAGTGATCCTAGTCTTTGCTTCAGAGGACTGTGGAGAAGACTCAGTGAAATAATGAGTGTAGAGTGTTAGTAAATAAGACAACATTTATTAAATAGTAGTGGTGGAGGAATGAGTATTATTAGTATGAGGAGGGGACTCCCTGAGGATGACCACCCCAAAGGGTCTTGACTTCCAGGGACTTCTGCTGAAGGTCTTGTCTCCTCTTTCCCTAATTTTAGGCCCTGGAGGAGGCACTGAGCATTCAGACTTCTCCATCATCTCCACCAGCAGCATTTGGGAACCCAGAAGGAACAGGGGCCCTCCTGAGGAAGCAGGAGCTGGTCACTCAGAATGAGTTGCTGAAACAGCAGGTGAGGCTTGTGGAGGAGGTCAGGTGGAAGGGCTGGGAGTCATGTGAAAGCTGCAATTAGTAGACCATTTATGGTCATTGGCCAGGACCTCTCAACCTGGTTATAGAATTCTTCTTTCCAGAAATAGGTCCCTGTTTTATGTCATTACTCTACCATCTTCATGATTTGGCCATCTTGATGCCCTACCTGTGCTATTATTTACCTAATGTTATTTTTTTATTTGAGGTGAAAGTCATGTAACATAAATTGAACCATTTAAAAGTGAATTATTTCAGTGTCATTTGATATGTTCACAACAGAGCTGGTGCGACTGCTACTTCTGTCTAGTCCCAAAACCTTTTCATCACCCCTATGGAAACTCTATTTAATGCCAGGTTTTTGATCCTCTTGTCATCTTATACCAGGTCACCATTGCACTGATCCACAGTAAGGATGGAAACAGTAGGCTCAGGCGTGTGGTGTGGTAGGGGCAGCTCACGCAGAGGCAGATTCATCCCAGCCCCTCTGTCAAGGCATGCCTGCAGTCTGAAACCTGAATTGCAGTCTTCTGCCCACACTCTGGTTCTGTCACCTCCAACTCTTGTGTGTCTTAACGGAATGAAAGGGTTGGGCTGGTGGATGGTTTTCAGCCTTTCCTTTTTGGTCATGTATTCTTTATTCAAATAAAGTCCTACCTCAAAGGCCAGAGTATAAAACCGAACTCATGGCCATCAAGTCAATTCTGATAGCCACCCCTGTTGGGTTTCCAAGGCTATAAATATTTATAGAAGCAGACTGCTTCATCTTTTCCATGGAGCGGTTGGTGGGTTCAAACCACTGACCTTGTGGTAAGCAGCCACCAGAGCTCTGCACCACCAGCACTCCTTAGAATATAAAACAGGAATGCAAAACTGCCCTTATTGAAGTTGACAATGGGGGCTGGAGGTACACCTGTTCCATACCCCACAGTCTCCCCGAGACCTGGTGAAACCACCCCAATGTCTGAGATTCCCAGAAGGAGGTAGGTTCTGAGCCTGAGCAGGTCTGAGCCTTCACACACCTGACCTGCCCATCCCCCCTCCCTCCAGGTGAAGATCTTTGAGGAGGATTTCCAGAGGGAGCGCAGTGATCGAGAGCGCATGAATGAGGAGAAGGAAGAGCTGAAGAAGCAGGTGGAGAAACTGCAGGCCCAAGTCACCTTGTCGAATGCTCAGGTGAGAGTGACTGGACCAAGGAAAGGACAGTTGGCCTGCCCTCATGGGGAGGGGTCTGGGCAGGGAGATCCCTGGTGAGGTTGGGCCACTCACTCCCTGGTTCTGCTTCCAGCTCTGCTGCTAGAGTACTGTGATCTTGGCAAGCCCTTCCCTTTTCTCTTTGTACAATGAAGAGATTTAACACTATTGCTTTAGGATACCTTCTGGCTCTGACAGTCCATAATCCATGTTGATGTCTTAAAAGAGCAGTTTAGGAGTTTGCCCTAAGCCATCCACTTTCTCCTACAATGGAACTGAAAGATGCTAAGTACTGCAGCACAGAAGCAGTCAGGCACACCTGAGCCATCCACACCTGTGGTCAGATCATGCAAGATGAGGCTCACCTGCAGCCAACAGCCTGGGCCTTCCCTAGGGATGACCAGCCTCTCCTTGATTAGACCCTGAATCCAGGCCCTGCCAGGAACCACCTGTGCCAACAGTTTTCTTATCCTCCTTCCTTCTCTCAGATAAAAGCATTCAAAGAAGAGGAGAAGGTGAAAGAAGCCCTCAAACAGCAGAAGAGAAAAGCAAAGGTGAGGCTTGAGGGAGGAAGCAGCGCTTGGCCTCATCATAGCTTCTTCAGAGAACTACAGTCTGATGGGAGAGACAGTAATTGCTCAGATGTCCTGTACTCTGCCACTTGACTAATGAGTTGTTAGTACAGGTATGGCACTTAGAACAGTACTTGGCACAAAGTAAGTTCTTAGGACATGTTAACTTATCATCATTGTTGATAATGCTTTGCTTGTGTACCAGCCATCCCTGCCCATGAACCAGCTTCCCGTTCACATGTACCCAACCTTCTGTGTCAATGTACAGGCTTCTGTGCCCCTGTACCTAGCCTACTGTGTTCATGTACCAACCTTCAGAGAGTTGAGATTCTCAACAGAGGGAGATAACGTTGGTGTCACCCGGGATGGTCTGAGCAGCCTGTTGCAAACCACAGTTAGACACTGGCCTTTTTTTTTTTTTTTTTTTGCAGTCCTCGGGAGAGCGCTACCATGTGGACCCCCACCCAGAACACCTCTGCGGGGCCTACCCCTATGCCTACCCACCCATGCCAGCCCTGGTGCCACACCACGGCTTTGAAGACTGGTCTCAGATCCGCTACCCTCCACCCCCTATGGCCATGGAGCACCCACCTCCACTCCCCAACTCACGCTTCTTCCATGTGGTGAGTCTCTCCCTCCACTTCAGGACATGCACAGACCACCCCAAGCACTTTGCAGAGGGGAGGGGCATGCAAGAGGCCAGAAACTGCATTCTTAATGCTTTCCAGAGGAGCACTGATGTGCAGACAGATGGCCAGGGCTGGGCTCTGGCCTGCCATTCCAGGGGTGAGGGTTCTGCAGCCCAGAGCTTGTCAGGATTACTGGTGAAGGACAGAAAAGGCTGAGTACAGAGCATGACAGAAAGGAGGGTCCCTCCACCCTTCCAAGCTAGAGGTACTAGTTGGGGTTTGACTTTTTCTTAAAACCCACATATAACTAGGTACCAAATCCTCACCATTCTTTCTCTCTCATTCCTTTTCCTTTTCTTTTTTGTTTCCTCTCCCCCTCCTTTCCCCTCCCTTCATTTCCCTTCTCTTCGTTTCTTACTATCTTTCTCCAAAGAGCTGCTGTTGCCTGCCCCTCTCCTCCAGCCTGTCTGCCACAACCCCACCTCAAGCATTCCCTCAGCTCTCACCTGGACAAGTACAGCAGCCACCTATCTGGCATCTTTTCCACGTTCTCCCCATATAACCATTCTTTACATACATCTTCTTTAAACACTGGAGTGTATTGTGGTGCTTAAGAGACTGGCTCTGGGGTTGTAAAGACCTAGATTCAAATCCAGGCTTTGCCACTTTATCAGCCATATAACCATTAGTAAGTTAATCCCTTTGAGCTCAGTTTCCTCACCTATTAAATAAAGATGGTACCTGGGTGGTTGTGAGGATGGTGACCCTGCATACAACAGAACCAAATGCTGCCTGGTCCTGCACCGTCTTTATCATCATTGGTATGCTCAGTCCATTGTTGTAGCCACTGTTTAGTTCATCTTCCAGCACAATACCAGGCGATATTTTATTGTGATCTGTAGGGCTTTCATGGGCTGATTGTTGGAAATAGATCACAAGGCGTTTCTTCCTAGTGTGTCTTAGTTTAGAAGCTCTGTTGACAACTCTCCACCTTGGGTAACTGCGCTGATATTTGAAATACCGGTGGCATAGCTTCCAATATCACAACAACCCGCAGCTACCACAGGATGACGGGTGGAAGGAATTACACTTGCTAATGTCTGTTTAGTATCATCATTACATGATAGAGAGGATCTCTGGTGGTGCAGTGGTTAGCTTCTTGGCTGCTAACTAAAAGGTGGTTCAAACCCACCAACCCCTCTGTGGGAAAAAGATAAGGCAGTCTGCTTCCATAAAGATTTACAGCCTTGGAAGCCCTATGAGGCAGTTCTGCTTTGTCCTAAAGGGTCACTATGAGTTGGAATCAACTCGATGTCATTGGGTTGGGTTTGGTAGGTTGCATGGTAGCTGCTGTTATGATTTTTTTTGAGTAATTATTGATTACTTAGCACTAGTTTTGTTCTAGCCAGAGTATGCCTGGCATTCACCTCGTGGAGGGATACGGAATCAGAGCTCCCAAGTGATGGACCCATCTACAGCCAGGCCTGCAGAGCTAGGTGAGCATACTCCCTAAGTACTGGGTTGTTCCCCTTGGGAGAGATAACTTCTTATCTGTCAGGGTTGTCCCAGTTTGAGAGTGATGCTACTACTTTGTGATCTTGGCAGAGGGGAGGCTCAGTTTTCCAAAATCCTGTTGAAAGGAGAGTGATGGTGACTGGGGTGGTGATAGGATTTGAGCTATCTCCATCCATTCTTTTGTTCATCATAGTTTATTGTGTGAATGCCAGGCCTGTACTGGGTGCTAGAGATTCTGAAAGAGAACATAAACAGATTTGGTCTCTGTCCCTGTGGAGCTGAGTGTCTAGTGAAAGGGACAGAGGTGAATACAAACATCACACAAACGAGCATATGATTATATGCTGGGTAAGTGCCCTGAGGGAAGAAGGGCAGGTTTATGTGAGAGCAGATAACAAAGGGACTTGACCTGCACTGACGCTTAGGAAAGCTTCCTAGGCAGTGACACCATAGAACAAGCTGAAACCCTCAGAACAAGTGGCATTAACTAGGTGAAAAGGTAGGGGAGGAGGGCAGGATTTTGGAGGAAATGACAAGTGCAAAGGCCTTGGTGGGAAGCGGTGGAGGGTGGCTGCCTTCAGGACCTGAGAGAAGGCTGGAGCAGAGAACAAGATGGGAAGAAGGAGAAGGGAGGGGCAACATGAGGTCAGAGAGGCTGGGGAGTCAGGCCATGCACTGCCTTGTAGGACAGAGGGGGTTGGTCTCATCCTGAGAATGACCTGGAGTCCTTGGAAGGTCTTAAAGCAGGGTGGCATGACCAGATTTGCATTGAAAAAGGCTCTCTTTGACTACAGTGTCTGCCATAAAAGGCTAAGGGACTGGGGCTGTGTTCTCTAGTCCAGACCATGGGCCCTTGCTCACTGACTTTACTCTGAAAGACTTTCAGGGGTAGAAGGCACTGCTTTGCCTGTGGGGCTTCTGGGAGCCGAATCACAACTAGTGGATGGGAGCTACAAGGAGAGTGAGTCCATCTCAGCAGGAAGAGGAACTTGCTAATAGTCACAGTTGTGCAGAAATGGAATCAGGATGTAGCAAGTACCCCTCTACAGAAGTTGTGCAGGGAGAGGCTACAGAACGACTTGGAGGGAGTATGGTTTGGAGGATTTAGTGAGATTGGAAGGAGGGATTAGCCTGGCCTGCCATTTTCTACTAGTTCCCCACACAGCCTAGAGGTTCTGTGGAAGCCCTGGGAAGCTGCTTTAACGAGGGCAAGAGGTGGCTGTCTTTGAGTTCTCTAGAGAAAAAGAACCAGTGATGTGTGTGTGTGTGTGTGTTTGGGCATAATTATATATAGAGAGATTGATTGACTGATTTACTTCAAGGAATTTGCTCATGCAATTGTAGTTCTGGTGGTGCTGTGGTTAAAGCATTGGGCTGCTAACCAGAAGGTTGATAGTTGGAAACTACTAGTTGCTCTGCAGGAGAAAGATGAGGCAGTCTGCTTCTGTAAATATTTATAGCCTTGGAAACCCTGTGAGGCAGTTCTCCTTTGTCCTATAGGGATGGAATCCACTCATTGGCGTTGGATTTGGTTTTGATTTGGCAAATCCAGCTAAGAGCTGTAGCTTAGGTGACAGGCTGAAGACTCCTGTAGGCTTTTGTTCCAAGATCCGTAGGTCAGGAGACAGGAAAAGTGTAGAGAAAAGTTCTGCCAAAATACCTATTTATATTCTTGAGGCAAAACTTACCTTAGAGAAACATCCTTTTTCACTGATTGATTTTAATTTTTGGATGGTGTTTGTTTACATTACAATTAGCATAAAATAACATCATGAAGCAACAGTTAGACTAGTGTTTAGCCAAACAACTGGCAACTATAGTTTAGCCAAATTGACACATAAAATTAATCATCACAAGGGCCAAGTGAGCATGACTCTAGATCCCATATCTGTCCCCCTGACCCAAGAACTGCTCTACTTCTAGGGTCTGGAGCCAGACTGACAGGGTTCAAATCCTGGCTCCACCACTTCCTAAATGTGTGTCTGTGGGCCCCTCTCATCTTTTTAAACCTCTCTGAGCCCCAGTCACCTCCTGTATAATGGGATAATAATATGCCCACTTCACAGGGCTGGGTGGGATTAAATGAGTATACATCGGTGCCTATGTCCATCTGGCTTGGCCTTGGTGTTGCTTAATAACTCTAGCTGTTATTTGTACTGTAACTGAAGTTCCATGTAAGATTTTGAAGCCTACTATACCACATAACCTTCAAGTCCTCAAAATTTTTGTTTATCTAGAGTCCACAAAAAGCGACCGAGAAGGCCCTCAGTGAGGCCAGAGTGTGTCACTTGGCTCTACCTTCGTCTTGCAGAGCCGGCTGTCCTCAGATCACCGAAAAACTAGAGACCATGTACTCTGTGTGACCTCAGCAGGATGGGCAGCTGAGATGGAGGTCAGCTCATGCCTGGCTCCAACCTGAACAGTTTACAGACTCGGAAGGCTCCACCCAGAGAGCTCCGTTTGGGCCCCTGCTTTTGGAGTGATATTTGGAAGAACTCTTTCCTCCACTTCCTTTTGGAGATAGGAGGCCTTGTCTGGTTTGGACCTCCCGTCCTTTACTGATGCCTCTGGGGGAGTCAGTCTCAAAAGTGGGGTACAGCCAAAGCCCCATCCTTTTCAAAACTTTCTCAAGTGCTTCCGGCCCCTCCAGGTGCCACTTTATTTTCTGTGTGTGTTTCATTTTTGCTTCAAGTTTTATAGCAGGACGTTGCCCTGCACCCATCCCTTCCCCTCTGTGAGGAGCTACAGGAAGAGCGGGTTTGCCTCCAGGAGCAGAAGAGAGTAACAGGGTGTTCTGATGCTGGGTCCCCTGCCACCTCCACCCAGTCACATCTGCCAGTGCTACCCGCAGCCTGGGATGAAAGCTACCCAGCCACATCCACCAAGGCTCCAGCCCAGAGTTACCAGGCCCTGACGTTCAGCCCTAGGCCCCGCAGCTGGAAGCTTGTGGTGCCTGGGGCCCCAGATTGGGGTAGCCGTCTATCCCTGGCAGCTGTTTGCACGATGTTCTTAAACATAAATATAAGTTGAGGATGAGTATTCAGTGACTGGTACTCTTTTATGCCCTGATAATCCCCTCCCAGCTATCTCAGTGCTGCTTTCCAAGGCCCCTTTCTTCTGTGCCCTATTTCTTGCACTCCCCACACAAGGTCACCATACTCTAAGCTGACATCCCCTTGGGCCCTGCTTGCAGCTGCCCTGAGGGTGTGGCACCCAGAGCAGTGGAAAGAACCCTGGGCTGGGAGTCAGGGGCCTGGGTTTAAGTTCCAGTTCTGCCCCTTTCAGGTCAGGAGGCTTTGGACAAAGTCTGGTCCTTCTGTGAGCCTTAGTTTCCTCATCTGCCAAACGGAGCACATCACCTCAGCCCCAGCCACGTCGGAGGATGGTGGGAAGGAATGAGAGGAGTTGTGAAGTGAACTGGTTTTATAAACTCCAGATGCTGAGTGAGAAGCTGAGTGGACCTAGGTAGAAAGCCAAAAACCACTCCCTTCATTTCTTTTCCCTTCCTCTTGCTCCTGTGCCCCATGGCTGGGGCAGCCACCATTGAAAAACCACAGTAGACTCAAATGCTGCAGAAAGGCCTTTACTGGGAAGATGGGGGCATGAGTCTAGTGCCAGTGGTCCAGGAGGAGGGGGAGGGCACGTGCTCCAAAGGAGCAGGGGTGGCATCTCTGTCCAGGGCCTCGCCTGAATGCACTAAGGGCTGGCCCATGGGACAGGCTCGGGGGAGGTCCGCCACAGGGGCTTCGGGCCCCACCCTCATGGAGATGCTGCCCCTGTCATGAGGACGTAGCCCTTGCTCTCACAACTGTCTGGCTAATGTTGGTACACTATGGGTTGGGGGCAGGGGCTTGGGAGGGCTCTTAGGAAGGAGGAGCGGCTGGGACAAAATATCCCTGTTTGATGGAGGAGACATTGGGCAGAGTGGTAGAATCAAGAGACTTTTAGTGACCCCAGTGGTATTTGGAGGCAGTGGGAGATGTTAGCTTCAAAGTTGAGGTCCAGGTTAGAGCAGTACAACTGGACCTCAAAGCTCCTTTGGGTTCAAGTGAAAGTAGATGGTTATCATTGGAACAGAGAAGTGGAGAGAGAGTGTTTTTCCCTAGCACTCTACCTGGCACACAGCTGTGAGCACATACATGGTACACATTCCTGGGTATTCACTCAGTAAAAACGTGGTATACCTTGCACACAACATGTGGCTACGCACACCTGTGGATATGTGTGTGAACTGCACACACAGCAGTACAAACCTAGGCATGTGCACACATCAGTGTCAGGCAGAAACCTCAGATAATAGGGGCCTGGGGTCCATGGTGAGTGTGTAGTGCACTTGGATATGGATTCCTTCCTGAAGAGAGCCCCCTGGGCCCCTGCGTGATGGACATGGGTGGGGCAGAAAACAGTTACTTCCTCTGGGTCCCCAGGACTGCCCGCTGCCTCATATAGTTTAGGATGTCAATCTTGACTTTGCTGACCGTGGTCCGGTGGTACCAGCGCATGATGGGCAGGCCATCTGGTCCCACCAAGAACTTCTCAAAGTTCCAGCGGATGTCATGGACCTTCATGGGTTCCCAGAAGAGGCGGCCAGGTGAGCCCACAAGCTCCGAGGTGGGGGGACAGGAGTTCTGGAGCAGGGATGAGAAAGTAGTGTCAACCCTGTTTGGAGTGGAGTGAGTGGGATGGGTGGGGGGTGGCTCTGGCTTTTCCCACCCTTCTCCCCAGGCCTCCCTGGAGGAAGCAGCACAGCTTGGCAATGGGGAAAGAGCACCTGTTAGAAGTCAGAAAACTTGACTCCCAGCCCCATCTTGGGCTCTAACAGATTGTGACATCCTTGGTGTGCCCATGCCTCAGTGAATGCCTCATCTGCCAATCCCTCTAGTTGGAACAGTAGATGCCAAGGAGGTGACATTGGCCTTGTTGCCACAGGGGCCTGGCTCCAGGAGTTACTGCTGCATCACTGTCCAGAGCCAGAGCGCAGCCCCTGAAGCTCCTATACAACACTGCTCACTCACCTTCAGGAAAGTGTAGAACTTCTGCTCTTTCTCCCCATTCACATCACCTTTCTCAAAGAGCTGGAAATTGGGGACAAAGCCTCCACCTGGGCGCACATGCCTGTGAGGAATATTCTTATGTTGGTCCCAAGGAGGTGAGCACAGGAATGAGGGTTTTATTCCATTGGAGACAGTGGGAGCTACTGAATGTTGAGCAGGCATAAGGTGTGGTCTGTAGTCTTTCTAGCTTGGTCTTTTGTTGGCACCTCCCATCTCCTGCCCTTTGTACCTACTCTGTGACACATATTCCCCCCACCCCATGCACTTCACAACCAGTCATCCCTGTCCCTCTCCCTCCTCTGTTTCCTTCACTACACAGGTTTCATAGAAGGGGAGACCAGCTCTTGGTGGCTGATAAATGTCCAACATGAGTAGGAAACAACACGAGATGCCTGAGGCTGGGTTGGGGACAGGGAGGGCTGTGCTATAGCTTTCTCAGGATGCTGAGTGAACACTCACTTGAGGGAGGGTAGGATCTCTGAGTTCTCTCCTGGTTCCTGTTTTCCAAATTGGTTGCAGGGGAAGCCCAGAATGACCAGACCAAATGGTGCAAGCTCTTCCTGTAGTGCATTCAGTTCTGTGCCAGGGAAAGAGGGCAAAGATGGGGGCAAGCTAGTGATAAGCCTTGCCTCATCCACACCACTCCATCTGTTCACCCACCATACAGCTGAGAACACTGAGCCCCGAAGAGGCGGAGGGACTTGCCCAAGATCATCCCACAAGTTCATGGCAGAGCTGGAATGCAAGTCCCGTCCTCCTGGCTCCAATCTAACTATAATTTGAATGGATTGGATGTTTTGAGGAAAACAAAAACCTTTCCTCAAATAGCAGAGTCAACTACCCACTGCCAAGGCCCACCACCTGGGCCAGTAAATTGAAGGCTCATGCCTGCTGCACCCAGGCCAGCCCAGGCTCTCAGGATTTAATTTCCTGGAGTAGGAGCCACCACTCCCTGGGAAGAAGACAGAGGACTTCTTTGGTTTGAAGTGGGGCCCTCACAATCTCCCATTTCCTTGGGAACTCAAGACCTTAAGGACGGCCCTGGTTCAGCCCTCTCACGTCCTCTGGGGACCCCAGGCCTCTTGTGCAATATCAGCTCTCAGTCCATCTCTTGCATAAACAGATTCTGCTCTTCTGTTTATGAAGAAACATTCTGTCCCAGGGCACTCACTGCCTCCCGGGCCCCACAGTCCAGCTGCCATTCTGCTTTTAGGAATCGTGGCCACTACTGCCAGCTGATGGTTTAGGGTTAAGTTACTCCTGCCTCCCCTGCCAGCCAACCCACACCAGCCTGCAGACTGTGCTTAGACCAAAGCCTTGCCTAGGGGGTGCTGTCAGATGCCTTCAATCTGCCTGTTCCCTCATGTCCTTTACTCTGTCCCAGCTATGGAGACACAGGAGTAGGCATAAGGGGGATCAGGAGACCTGGTAAAAAGCCTGGTTCTGTCACTAATCGCTTTGAGACCCCAGTTGTTTCTTCACTTGAGCCTTCATTTCCTTATCTCTAGAGAGGGGAAGGCTGAACTAGATCCATCATCTTTAACATTTATTTTAGAATGACTTTGAGAAATATTACCCACCCACCCTCT